TAGCATCTCAGCAAGATCAGACAGCAGATTGGAGAATTGTGTCTCTTCCAGTGACTGCAAAACACCAGTTTTAACTTCTGAGGTTTTTTTCATCCAGTATATATGTGAAATTTATTAAAAAAACAAAACAAGGCCCTCCCTGGTGGCGCAGCGGGTTAAAGCACAGCACTGAGAATCTGAAGCCACTTCAGCATGAGTTCGATTCCCGCCTGCCCCGGAGGAGACCACATGGCGAGCCAGACCTCTCCTGACCCGCCCGCTGCTCCCCTCAGCAGTGTACTTCGTCAATCTGCCTGTTCTGCTCCCCACTCTGTCTCTGGTGAAGCCTCTCACCGTCCCTGAGCCTCTGGCCTATACCCCAGTTCTGTATGAAAGGCTGCAATGTCTAGCAAAGTTTGTTTTCCCAACTGAAGGAAAATCAGTTGTTCTTTAGTGAGCAGTGACTGGATTAATGCCTGGGATGGGAAGTCCCTAATTGCAGTTTATAATCTACTCCAGCTCCAATATATCACTTTGCTAATGATTGTCTGGTAGTACATTGTTACCTTTGTTTTCTGCTTTGTGACAAAATTACCTGCAAAGACAAATTCTGCAGATTTAACACAGTGAACAAAAACGAAGTAAACCGAAGGCCAAGGATTTCTCCTGCTCAGCCACTTGCCCTACGTTGACCTTGCCGTAACCTTTCAGGGCTATCCACTCTTAAAACCTTAAGATTCTTTTAGCTGTTTCAAATTATTTATACAATTTGCAATTCACTGTATTAGTGATGCAACACGTGTAGTTATTAAAAGAATTTTCTGTATTAGTAAACAGTGAAGATTTTGGGATTGAGAGGATGGGATGGTTTTGAGAAACAATTGGATTTATTGTATTTAAATGTGAAGATTACATCAAATACATGGTGTTGACTCCATATTTTTGGGGAGGGGGATCAGTCTTCAGGTTCAGATTCTGGGGGTTTTGAGTGGATGAGCTTCCCCTTACACAGTGATGCCCAGGCATGGACCAACCAGTCTAAAAACATCTACTCTCCTTCCTGCGTCATTTGCTCCCATGCACAGCACAGGTTTCCCAAGAAGGTGTTTATATCTGAATTATTTCAACTTAGATTTTTTTTATCAGTATTTTCTTTTTTAGTTATAACTTTCCCACCATATTAGTCATAATTTTAGACAAATAACTAGATCTCCAGGATTTATTTCCTTCACTGTGTATTTTACTACTAATGAACTAGTGATAAATAATATAATACTAAATAAAATATTGTACTCATACTAATTATATAATGATATAATAGTAAT